TAGACGTTTGTGCTCTAAGTAACTATGTTTGTCACGATCTTTCTTTGATTTAATAAAACTTATATATAGCTTTTGTTTTCGTTTCAAAGACTTTAAGAGGCTTTAAGAGAAACAAAGATTAAGAAGTGATTTAGTTTTAATACGGCTGGATTTTTTTTATTTCGACTTGGGTTCTTAAATTATGAATATTTAGACCTTTCCTTTCAACAAAAAAATAGTATAGAATGAGTGTCACAATTCGCAATATAATTAAGCGGATCGCAAATTCTGACGGCCACAAAACTTCCCCATATAGTATTAGCAAAATTAATGATTATGAATGGATGAGTAATATAGTAATGCATAAATAATAACAATGCATTTCGAAACTTTTACGTCAATTAAGTCAATTCACCACGCATTAAATTTATTTACACAAAAACGGCTTCATGAAATACATTCATACACATACATTTTATTTATATAGCATGTTTTATATATACAACATAATTTTTTATATAAAACATAATTTGTATATACTACATATTTTTTTATATAAATCAAACTTTAATTATATAAAACATTTTTTTAATATAAAACACTTTTATATATAAAAATATATTTTATAGTCTAAACATAATTAATAAAAAAGAAAAATAAATAATAAAAGAAAAAGAAAAGAAAAAATATTTTATATTTTAGAAAAAAAAATTACATGTTTAAATACATTTCATAAACAAAACATTTACTAGAAAGGAATATCAACATTTTATTGACTAAAAATAATCAGCAAAATTTGCAAAGAAACGGAGGCTTTTGAAACTTGATGACGTCAAAGCATATTTTAAAAAGCTTTAAAACGCGTCTCTCATTGCGTCATTAAATGTCATTTAATCATTTTTATTATTAGTTGAAAATAATTAAGGAGCCCATCTGCAAAGCACGCTGTCACAAAAATAGAAAATTTTAAATTTATTCCAATTTACATTCTATATACTGAAATCTATCATCTATTTAAACTAAATAAAAAAATCACATTTAAGAGATACTTGACCTACGTGAAAAACTCAAAAAAAGTTTCAGTACTTTTTAACTTTTATAAGTTTTGCATGGTTATATTTACACAACTTTAGTCAACTGTTTTAACTTATAATTTTTTAATTTTCAATCTATGTGGTTAAACTTTTGCTCATTCTTACAATAAAAACGAAAAGTTGACTTGAAAATTTTATTGTTGACGTAAAACCGGTAGTGACGTAATCATTTTGAATAACGCATTATTTGCAGAAAATTATAGCAGCTGCAGTTATTTGTTTGAACTTCTCATTGTTTACACGATTTTGGTAATGTTAAGCATGAATGAAAAAATTACTTCCAACAATCAAGAATTTTTAAAAATACCCAATGGCATTTACGACAATGCAGTTAAAGATATTAATGAAAAGTTTAACACTTTGTTGTTAAGCAATTTCCACGGAAAATCGAATATGAATGAAAAAATTACCTCTAGCAGTCAAGAGCATTTGAAAATACCCAATGACATAAACGACAATGCAGTTAAAGAAATTAGTGAAAAGGTTAATACTTTATTGTTAAGCAACTTACATGGAAAAACAAATTTTATCAAATGTACTCTACTTAGAAAAAGAAAGTTTGGTGTCAGCGATTTAGCTGATTTAGCTTCAAATAACAGTGAAACATTTACTGTAACACATAATATAATTATTAAAACTATCAAGAAACGAAAAATGTGACACCTATTATTAACATTAAATGCAAAATAAACAGTTATGAACTTCTTCGTTTTATTTTTGTTTAACCAAAGCGCAATTCGCAGAAAGTTCAAATAAGACTAATTTTACAATCAACAACATTGATAATTAACTAATTAAAAAAAAGTCGTGTAAACATGTGATTTTAATTGAAAAAAAAAACAAGATTTATCCTTCATCTGTGTTTACTATGAGTGTTATTAGTGGCGACGAGATTTTTTTAAACTTAATTCTTCATTCTTATAAAAAGAAAATCTGCATCTTCATTTAATATGTTAATGCAGTTATGGAAAATTTATGCAAAAACATCAAACGTGTAAAAGATTAGCTTTAAGCTTCAATAATCTTTTTTCATTGACCGATGATGGTAATGGTAATTTCATTATTGCGGTACATATTCATAACAAAAATAAACTCCAAAGACAAAACACAATAATTTTATTATGTTTTTTATTTCAAAAGAAAGTATTTTGAAAGAGTTTTATTTAAAAAGTAGTCATTTTGCCTTGGATTATTACAAAAAAACTGTTATTTTAATGGCATATTGTTTACAAAATATTTAGAAACTAAAATAGTTTAATACTTCAATAAAAAAGATTACAAAAGTTTTTTTAACTATACACTGAATATACAAGGAACTATATATAGTCAAAATACAAAAGGTTCATTATCAAAATAATGATATTTGTTGCTTATTAGAATTTTGGAAGAAAAAATGCCTAACTTTATAATTAGTTTGTTAGTTAAAAAAGGTATGATTAGTGTGTTGGTCAGAAAATTTTAAGCTAAAAGCTTGTGTATTTTTTTAAAGTAGACAAAATTGCTTACAATTAAACAATGAGAAAAACACAAAAACAAAGTTTAAAAAAACATTTTATTATTATAAGCTTGCCGAATAACTAGGTATTTCATCAACGTCTTAACCTGGAATCTTTTCAAACTGTGCCCTCAATAATAATAATAATAAGTGCCCATAAATTATCATAAATAAATAAATTATCATAAATAAATAAATTATCATAAATAAATAAATTATCATAAATAAATAAATTATGATAAATAAATAAGTTATCATAAACAAATAAATTATCATAAATAAATAAATTATCATAAGGGTCTATAAATAGACCGTATTTTTATATTTTATGAAGTTTTATGAAAGGGCGCTTAATACGCCGATTTCCTGTAAAATCTAATTATAATATATTTCAATGAATTTATTACAGGTAATTGACGTACTAAGGGCGTTCAGAGCGCCTTTCGCAAAACTACAACACTTTGAGTGAACAAAAACAAAACAAAGACCACAGTTTCTTTAACAAATCTATGCATGACTTGTATAACTTTTTACCTTTAAAGTACGATATTAAAAGATTTTCTAATGATATATTTGATCAGTTTTTCTGAAAAAAAATTTCAGTCCACGTACCTAATATAAATATATATCGAATATGTTAGTATATTTTATAAAATGAATGTTCAATATTTTTAAAGTACATAGCAGTAAAAATGCTGTGTACTTTAAAAATATTGTTGCTATGTTGCTTATGTGAGTTTGTTATCTAAGAGTGTTTACATATATTTATGAGTATATTATATTTGGTTTAATGATTGCAGAATTATTTATCTGTATTTTATAATATTGCATGTCGACCTTTAGTTGAAAGTGATAAAGATGAGAATTACATTATCCAGGGGGGCAACCACTTCTTGTATTAGCAAAGGCCTGGTAACTGGATTTTATTTGTTTTATTCTCAGATAGAGCAAGAGCAACCGCAGTTTTAAAAGATTTTAGTTTTGTTGATTTAGTGTTTTATTGAAGTAATACATAAGTGCTCGTTAATATCGTTAATAGAACCATGAATAAAGTATCTCGGACACAAAGAATATTGATGTTAAAAAGTTTGTATCAGTTAAATGTAACGGAACTACCATTAACGACAAAACAGGTTGCATTAAGATTGGCTGAAAAGGAATATAACCAACCGTTGCAATTGCTTTTATCTTTTGCATGCAAATGCAAACATTCTAATTCCCTAACTTTCATCCGTTAGATGTTTAGTCATGTGATGCGTAATTTTTGAGATATTTTAACTGCCCAACTTACCGCTATGCTCAACTAGCCCCGCGCTACCCTTGCTTTGTAAGATTTAAAAGTGATTGTTAAAAAAGGTTTTTAATTAATAGTTCTAGAAATATTGTTGTTACAAAAACAATTGACTGATATTTTTCACATTTATTTCATTTACCATTGGTATCATCAATTGATGATACCAATGGTAAATGAAATAAATGTGAAAAATATCAGTCAATTGTTTTTGTAACAACAATATTTCTAGAACTATTAATTAAAAACCTTTTTTAACAATCACTTTTAAATCTTACAAAGCAAGGGTAGCGCGGGGCTAGTTGAGCATAGCACGAAGTGGACACACACACTATATATGTGTGTGTGTGTGTCTGTGTATATATATATATATATATATATATATATATATATATATATATATATATATATATATATATATATATATATTCATATAAATGTGTATGTATATTTGTATAGTTTAGCATTTACGGGGACAAATTTTACAAAAAAAAACGAACACTTACGGTGACATTAGCATTATCGGGGACATTTTAGTGTACTCGTTAATTTTTGTCCCCGAAAGCATGATTATTTTTGTAAAAAAATGTAGCCGTAAGAAACTTGTATAGAGAACAAACAGTACATACACCGACTGACAAACAGCCTGACTCACAAGGGAGTGCTGCTACATCATAATTTAAATTTGGTTATATTATTGTAATTAATCGTTTTTGTAAATAGATGAAGTTAAAAATGAAATATAATATAAAATAAATAAATAAAAATAACAAAAATTAATATAAAGGATATATTTTTGTAATAAAATAATAAATTTAAATATGTATAAATAAAAATAGAAATAAAATAAAAACTAAAAACATATATATAAATATGATAAAAAAAAGTATAAAAAAAGTAAAAAAAAAAACAACAGAACGGGAACAAAAAAAACATGTCCCCGAAAGTCGCCAACTAGGATGCTATATAACTCAAAGCAATTAATTGATTAGTTAGTAGTAGAAAATTAAGGCAATAATATAGGGGAAGAAGCAAATAAAGAGAGAAAAAAATGTTACAGAAAAAAAAACTCACTTCTTCCCTTTCTTCGCTGAATCGCGGAAGAGCCGAGGGAAACTGGCTTATCAAGCACTGTGTTACT